TGCTTATAATTCTGTTTCTACTGCCTGCCTTGTTTCCCTTTTCCTTTTAAAATTCTGTCTGTGCTGTTGCTTTTGCTCTTTCCTACAATTAAACAATGTGGTTGTGTTCGCTGCTACGCCTGGTAATTTTCTTCTTTTTTTGGCATGTCACATATTGTGTATGAAAATTTTCTTGCGCCTAGTTCTTAAACAACTTCATATTAATAGCCACCTCTTCCTGATGAATGGTCTCAACCTGCCATTACTTATTGCTGCTTCTTCCTTCCTTTTGAAATGTTTTAAGAGATCCTGTGTTAGTCTTTTTGACATGTAATGTTGAAGGAGGCGAGTTTTTCCTAGAAAAGCTATTCGCAGAATGGTTTTAGTGATCAGAAATCATATTACTTTTAATTTTATACATCATCTTGACTGGAGCACAGATAGATGGGTAAATGTTATTATGGATTTATCTATGTGAATGTCTTTGTATGAAACTAACATTTGAATCAGATTGAGTAAAGAAGATCCCCTTTCCTAATCAGGATGGATTCCATCAAATCAACGAAAAGCTAAATTGAACAAAAAGTCTAAGTGCACTACGGGCAAGAGGCAGCTTCTGCCAAGCTGCTTTCAAGTCGCAACAGCAGCATTTCTTTGCTCTCGAGCCTGCCAGTGTTTGGATGAGAACGCACAACTGATTCCCCCGTTCTCTACTGCTAATTGCACATTTTAGGACCTGTCAGATTCTACAATAACTTTAGTCAATTCTTTATAATTAATAAATCTATACATATTCACCCACATGTAGGCACATGCATGCATGCACACACATATTCCCTGGTGGTTCTGTTTTTCTAGACAATCCTAATTAATACAGACCAAACTATAACCATTTTAAAATGTAAAGATCATTTTTAGTTTGTGGGTTCTTAAAAAAATTAGTCTGTGGGTCAGACTTGACCACAAATTTCCAATATCTCATTCTAAGTTATCAGGGATTCTAATGGGCATGGAGGAGTCATGGTGTAAGGTTTAGGAGAGAGAGAGAGAGAGAGAGAGAGAGAGAGAGAGAGAGAGACTAACAGAGAGACAGAGAAATACAGAGATATTAACCTGTACTCCCTTATAGAAAATGGCACCCTGGGCACTAATCACAAGACAAAGTTTCAAATCTCCCCTTCTGTCACAAAAAAACAAATCACTTTATGCACGTGCAGTTTGTGGCCCCTACTTAATCCTACCTCCAACCACCTTGTACTTTGCAGAAGTAAATGAGGTCCTTACTAGCTGTCACGACTAGTATACACCCTGATGTTATTACAAAGTTTAAGTTTTGTATATCAGGGTGTGCCAATTCAGCTTTTAAAGTAACATTACCAGCTAATTTTTTTTACAACTTTATTGAGGTATAATTTACCTAGCATAAAAGTCATCCGTTATAAGTACACTGTTCAATGATTTTTTAGCAAATTTAAAGTTTCAGGGCATGGTGGCACATGCTTTTAATCTCAGCATTCAGAAGGCAGAGGCAGGCAGATCTCTGTGAGTTCAAGATCAGCCTGGTCTATATAGTGAGTTCCAGGCCAGTTAGGGCTACATAGTAAGGACCCTGTCTTAAAACAAACAAGCAAGCAAGCAAACAAACATACAAACAAACCCACAAAACCTGGCTGCTCTCCCAGACTTGCCAAAATCAATGCATCTCTCGCCTCTCAGCAGAGAGATCCCTTATAGGGAAGATGGTGGCTAACAGAACCACGACTGGCCAGCATGCAGAGAATAAGAGGCTGCAGAGTGCTCATTCCTGAATAGGACACCTGTATCAAACTGTGGCCTCCTAAAGCTCAGGGATCATTGCGGAAGAGGGGATGGAAAGATTGTAAAAGACAGAAGAGGTGGATGATACCACAGAGAAACAGTTTTCCAGATAACTGACTCATATGAATACACAACAATGGACATGCTGCACATAAGCTCAAGCCAGACAAAATCTCAGCATGCACGAAGGGAGGTGGGTAAGAAACCCCAGCCCTATGTGAGGAGCTATTGGCAAGTGATGGCTGCTGGGAGGGGAAGAAGGGGAAGAGTCAGTCCCATTTAAGGGTTGACCAGGCTCCAGTGGATGAACCCATACCAATAGTCATTTGGGGACACAAGTTTGACTCTATAGGCCATACGCGTGCGCGCGCGCACACACACACACACACACACACACACATATGAATACATGAAATTGGGCAGGGAGAGTAGAGGGTTCAGATGGGAGAGGTGATCTAAATTCAATCAACATATATTGGATGAAAGTTGCAAAAATTCAATAAAACAGCAACAAAAAAGAAAATTTAAAAAGTTATAAAATGATTGCGACACTACAGTTTTGGAATACTTTCAATACTTGAAAAACTTCTCCCATGTCTTTTATAAGGTGATCCTGCTTTCTTGCTGAGTCCCAGAATCACTGATTGCTTTTTCTAGATATTTATCAGTAGAATCATACAATATGTAATGTGTACCGGTCTTTCACTTACATTACTGAATGAAGTTCATTTCGTCTTACTATGGAATACTATTCTATTACACAGATATGGGATTTGTTTATACATCTGCAAATTAATAAGCATATGTATTATTTCCAGTTGCTTACTATCATAGAAATTCATGTATCATGTTTCCAATTCTTTGGGTGACTAGAATTGTCGTGCTGCATTGTAAATGCATGCTTAACTTTTTTAAAAAAAGATCAATACTTTTCTATAGCGGGTACACCCCGAGTTCTTACATAACCTTGCCAAGTTCTTCATATGTCACTTTTCAAGTTTTTTAATAGATTAATTCGTCTAGTACAGCCTACAAAATAGTTAACGGTTGTATTATTACCAAACAAGTATTAACTATAAAGCCAGATCACCTGTGTTCAAATTCCAACCTGCCACTTCCTAGCTGTGCCATTAGAAAAGGTAGTTTTAGGGGCTAGAGAAATGTCTCAGCAGTTAAAAGCACCAACTGCTCTTGCAGAGGACCCAGATTCAATTCCCAGTACCCACATGGCAGCTAACCACCATCCATAATTCCAGTTCCAGAGGAATCTTCTGCCCTCTTTTGACCTCTTTTGACCATGACTGCATGACATGGGTGCACTTACATACATGTAGGCAATACACTCTACACATAAAAAATAATAAAATATAAAAAGGCAGTTTTCAATTACAAAGGGAAAAGAATGATAGAGTTTACCTTAGAGAGTTGTTTTGAAAATTGTATGAGTTATATAACAAAAGACCCACATGTAGTAAAATTTATCAAGTATGAGTTCATTTTGCATGCTTGGAAGGTTTTCCTATCTGCATGTTGACATGTCTGACTTAAACTACTACTACTACTACTACTACTACTACTACTACTACTACTACTATTACTACTACTACTACTACTGGGAATATGGGGGGGAAATCCTAACATTTTAAATGAAAAGCAAGTTAGTAGAATATACACAGGACTTGAAGTATACAATAATATGAATACAGGCAAACCTAGAAACAAACATACTATTAAGACAATAGTTTTGTGCTGAGGAGATTATGGGTAAGTTTCATGCTAAACGTTTTGCATTCTGCTTTTGTGTTAAATAATAATTCCAAGATGTAAATTATATGTTTCCTACTATAATCAATCTCACTCCCTTTCACATGAGTAATTTTAGTTGCAATGAGTTTTCTTTTAATAAAAAGTTTATCTGAAAAATTATCTCTTTTTCTTTCTTGGTTTCTGTTTTTGGAATTCAAAATTGAAAAACTTTTACATACAATTTTCAAAATTCACTTAAAAATTGCCTTTTGGATTTTATACGGGTAATTCAGTTGAGAAGGATTGCAGTTCTCTTCAAGTTGGTTGTCAAAGAAGAAAGAAAACAGATATAAGTGAAAACAAGAATAGAGGCTTAAAAATAGAGAAGGGCTAGAGAGATGCTCAGTTGATAAAGTGCTTGTTGCATAAACATGAGAACCTGAGTTTGAATCCATAGCACCTGTACAGAAAGCCAGGTGTGGTAGCTAGAGAGGTGGAGACAGGCAGATTCCTGGAGCTTACTGGCCAGCCAGCCTAATTAAATCAGTGAGGTCTAGGTTTATAAGAGGCCCTGTCTCAAAATATAAATATTTCTGCTATAGGCTATCAAGTCCTTTGGCTATATGCTAAGAAGTGATATAGCTTGGTCATATATGTATGTATATATTTAGCCACACTAATTAAAGATGAGGTCACGAAATTGAGAGGGAGGGGGAAGTAGACGAGGAAGGTGAAAGCAGGGAGACGGAGGGGTAGGAATGATGTAAATATTGTATTCGTGTATGAAATTCTCAAAAGTTAAGAAATTTGAGTAAGTAAATAAGGTGGAGAGCAACAGAAGGACATAGACCTCTGGTCCCTACATGCACACACAAACATCATGGACACATACATCACACACATAAATGGGACAAGCTGGGTATGACGACTCATGATTGTAATCACAGCACTTGGGAGGTAGAGGTAGAAGGACCAGTAGTTTAAGACTAAACTGAGCTATACAGCAAGTTTCAGGCCAGCCTGGGCTACATGAGACACTGTCTCAAAAAAAGGTGCAGACAGGGAGAGGCACAGCAGAGTAGAAATAAGATGGGAGAAGCAAAACTTTCTAGAAGACTCCCGTCACACATGGGTACAACAAAAATAGCCTGTATCATACAATCATTCATACCTTAACAAGAAGACTATTAAATCACATGTGGTAGTAAACACCTTTAATCCCAGCACTTGGAAAGCAGAGGCAGGAAGATCTCTGTGAGATTTAGGCCAGCCTGGTTTACATAGTGAGTTCTAGGCCAGCTGGGGCTATAGGGAGACCCTGTCTCAAGAGGAAAAAAAAAGAGAAGACAATTAAATAAAAAACACACCCTAAACATAAAATGATACCCAAAACTTAACTCACAGTGTTTAACATCTAGCATGTGTTTGATTAATACAAATGAGATTTAATCACTCACCTTATCAAGTTCACTAGTTAACTTTTTATTTTCTTCAGTTAATAATACTTTTTCTCGTTCATATTGTTGTTTGAACTCATTTTCAAATTCTTCTCTTTCGCTTTGACTAACATAATTCAAAACATAAAAAGAAAAAACACAGAACAGTCTATGATTATATGCAACGACAGATCTCATGAAAAAAACGTTCCGGGAATTTACAATGTGCCATGGTACTCATCTTTAATCCTATCTATAGGCAGGTGGATCTCTATCAGTTCCAGCCAGCCTGGTCCACATAGCAAGTCCCAGGCCAGCCAGGGATATATAATGACAAAGTGAGACCCTGTCTTTAAAAAAAAAGGGGGGGGGTTACAATGTATTAACGGTGATTGGCTTATTCAGTCATTTAATAATATTTTTAGAGCATTTGCTAGAAACTAACAAATTCTTTTGAGTTCCACAGACAGGCCCTGCTCTCACAGAGCTTACATTCTAGGGCAGGAACACAATGATAAATAAGTGAACTAATTTCAGAGAAGTCCATAAAGAAAATAAAATATAGTAATGCCACAATTACTATTTGAGACTGAGTGACTAATTTAGAGTGCAGTGTCAGGGAAGGTTGATGATGAATAAGTTACCAAAATGGAAGTATTAATTGTCATCTGTTTTATGCTCACTATGCTTAAAAGACAAACTAATCTGAGACCAAGTTAAATACCTTTCTTTGTATATCTGCATCTGTCTTTTTCCTAAAATACAAAGTCATGGGATACTTAGTTAAGACTGAGCCAGTAACTTCCTACCTTTGCTAACATTAAGAATATCATTCCATACTTGTCAATACTTAGAAATTAAGTTATATCTGAATTTACATATTTTAAAGATTATTTTGAAATAACTATTTTGAAAGCTGTGAGTATAACACAAAGCATCTCTGCCCCTCTGTTCCTAGATGTCCCAATGGTTAACATTTTCCTTCGTTTGCTCCATTACTGTGGGCACACCAAACTCATTATTCTTCTGAGCTACTGATGTGCAAGTGCAGGTGTTAAAATCCAAACTGCATTTCCCAAAGCTGAGGATGCTCATGACTTCTATAAGCAACTGTGCCAATTAGATCAGTATCACCAGAACACTGCTGTCTAAACCCACATACCTAGTTCATTTTTCTGGCCATCCCAACACTCTCTCCTTATATACTCAGAACCAGCTAGGAAACAAGTGCCATATTTGACAGCCATGCTCTCATTGCCCTTGGTCTAGAACAGCTTTGTCTTCTCCAGATTTCAAAACAGCTTTAAGGCAGGTAGGTCTCTCATCTAGGGTGACGCTCCATCTGAGTCTGTTGTTGTTAAGAGAAGGCAGCACGACATTCTTCGAAGCATATGCCATCAGGAGGCACAGGTGGTGATGTGCAACACTGACTAATTTAGTAGCTAAGTGTGTAGATTTAGAGGAAGTTAGGGCAGAGGTGATGACATGGGGTGGGAATCTCTGGGTAGCAGCAACAGAAGAAGCTGAGAGCTAGTAACCCTGCAGTTTTCACTAGCTTCCCCTAGAATGGTCAAATCAAAGGTGAAGGGTACAGTTATCTTTAACCCATGTTCCTCAATCATCAATGTCTTCAAGCCCACTGTAAGACTCAAGATCCTAGCCTAGAACAGATACAGAAGTGAAAGAGGGGACTTACACAATGAAGGACTTAAAGGATGGATCTTTTTTGTCAATTTATAATGGGACAGCTAGGAGTAGCATATAGGAATCAATTCTAAGAGTGACAGGCTGAGGAGAGAAGCTAAAATCATAAACATAGCCAAATTTATCAAATGGACACAACTCTTTGGGGTTTGGGGTTTAAAGTGTTGATTCAATAATTAGACATAGATTTTCCCTGCTAGCCCGAATACTGGAAACTTGGAATGGATAAGTGGCCTACAATCAATGAGCTTAAGATGTGAGATTTACCTGAACATAGCAGTCTCCCTGCTCAAAGAGGGGAGACTGCTTGGGTGGTGATCTACTTCCCAGCTGCTGGTTCTCTCCCCACAGCTGCTCTTGGTAACACCCAGAAAACATTCCTCTTGCCAAGGTATTACTATCTACATGGTAAGAGGGAGGCTAACATTCTCAAAATATTGTGGCAGGTGACAGTGGGAAATGCCACAACAGAAGAGATATATTGAAAATAATGGCATTCTGGACTGTACTTGCTGCTTTACTTATAGTTGGACTGCTTCAAATCCCAACCCTTTCCTCTAGAATATATCTCATTTGTCCACTTTGATTGTGCACATATACTCAGAAGTATGGGGGGAAAGGAGGAAGTTGAGAAAGGAGAATACATGGGCCACAATACAATTTCTTGTTCTCAGCTCCAGACTGCATAAAAAATTCACCAATGTATTCCTAATAGTTCTCTCAATGCCCTCGGCCCTTATTTCTTACCACACCCAGACATAAACTTGCACAACTGTTGTATAGGACTATTCTTGGAGCCAAACTGACATGACCTTTGTGAGTTCAGCTGTGCCTGCTTGCAAGAGATCATCAGCTGGTCTGGTTGATTGCTGACAATCCCTCAAAGAAGGAGGGATGAGAGGGTCATAGGACCCTAATCTGATTATCCAGCCACTCCTTCCAACCAACTGTATACAATTCTATCCTAACTGCACCTGGTCTTTGGGAGGGGCTAGAGTACATAGGCTGGGAAGGACAAGGGGGAGAGGGTTCTATCTCTACAGCCATGGCAAAGCCATTGTTCAGGTAGGCAGGGTGAAGACCTTCCGATGCAGCTGCTTTAGGATCACCTATGTTCCTGCCAGTAATTGCTCACCGATGCTCTGTAAGTAAGCCAAATAAACCCACTTGTTTTCAGGTTGAACTTTGGTGGAATCTAACTTTAGTTTGTCATTGCAACCTTACACGGAGAGGGATAGACACTGTAATCGGTCTGTCCCAGGGAGAACATTATTTCAAAAACAAACTTAATACACAAACTTAATACTATAAAGCACATTTAAAATGACAGCAAAGAGGGAACAAGCCTGGCTTAGGCCTATAAGTAAACAATCCTAGGAGAAAAGAAAGAACTAGTTTCTGAAGACTGTGTTCTCATGTTGACAAAGGCTTAGGTCTATGGCAGTTTGAGTTTTTGTTTTTGGTTATTTTTGGCCAGAGTCTCCCTAGTCCCCCCTTACTAGGGATTCACTATGTGGAGCAGACTGGCCTCAATCTCACAAAGATCTGCCTGCCTCTGCCTCCTAAGAGCTGGGATTAAAGGCACCTAGCCTGGTGTCTATGGTATTTGATAGAGGATGTTAGCAACTAAATGAAATTATGTACAAATCAGTAATTATATATATCCACTTTCAAGTGAATAAAGAACATAGTAATGGGTGACCTTAACATCTACGCCACAAAATTACTAAAGACAACATTCAGTTCAAATTGTAATTCAAATTGTAAATTCAAGGAAAACAAATCATCCTGTCTCCAAGCAAATGTGTCTCTCTTTTAGAGCCTACAATGCTACATTTAGTTATGGTAAGGAATCTTTCCTGACCCAGGAGTAACTTTGAAAACAAAAACAGGACAACTGCAAAGAAGCTGTTCAGAAAACTACATCCACAAATAAACAGTAAAATTTTATGTAAAACCATTCTTGTTTTATTTCTAATGGCATTACACAAAACTTAACTCTCATATTTTAAGAAATGATACTAAACACACCATACCAGAATTTGAGATCTGCCTCCACCATCTACAGAAACCAAGAAGCCCACTGTTTGGAAACCTACCCTGGAGCTAGTGCTATCCCACCCAGCCTACCTTGGACAGTGTTGTTCACTATCTCCCGATGAGTGTAGTCTTCTCATGACCTGGTGCTACCACATTGAATCTGCAGCCCTCTCGGCTTCTTCCCAGCTGCCTTTGTAAACTCCTCTCCTGCTGGCTTTCCTACAAATGCCAGTGCTCCTCTGAATGCCATCTTAGAAGCTTATTTCCTCTCTTTCCACACTTTCCCTGAGAAGCTCAACTATACCATCTGGCTTCAATTATGATCTGCTATGCTAGTGATCACGGAATCCATATGCAAAACCTGACAGGGCTTCAAACTGCTGACTTGCCATTACACAACAATGTCTTCCAAGCCCTTCACATTCAACACTCCCAGCTCAACACACAACCAGCTCCAACTTCCCTAGCCAACTTCATCTGTGCCTACTTACCCTACTTCTTCTCTTCTATAAGAATACAAATGCCTGACTAAGGCTGATCTCTCTCTCTCTCTTTGAAAGTATTTTATTATTTTTATGTGTATGAGTGTATTGTCTGCGTGTAAGTGTCCCTGTTTCATGCAATGCCTGTGGAAACCAGAAGAGGGTGTGGGATCCCTGGGACTGAAGTTATGGACAGCTATTAGCTGACATGTGGGTACTAGGACTTGAACTTGGGTCCTCTACAAGAACAGCCAGTGCTCTTAACCGCTGAGCCATCACCCCAGTACCTGATCTCATTAATGCATTGCTCTCGTACCTTTCTCCACGAAATCAACCATTAGCTAATTTTTGTCAGATTACAAATATGCTATTATGTCTCCTATTTAAAACAAACAACAAGCAAAGTAACCTGAGACAAACTTCTCCAGCTATTACCTTATTCCAAAGCTTGCTTTTGCCAATAACAACTTTAAGTCCCAATAGTGCTCCTTGTCCTCTGCTCCACTGGCTCTCCTTCAGGTCTCCTACGATGATGCTGTTGATCTTTGCCCTTATTTTTCCAGTGAAAATTGCTATTATCAAAGTTACCAATAACTTTCATGCTGCTAAACTCAAATGTCATTGTGTAGCACTTATTTCCTTGGTTCAGATTTTGTCTTTTCTGACATGTGGACAGATCTGACATGCTTTCTTTATGAGGGGTCCAGAGCACCACATTTGCCTAGTTTTCTTCCACTTTGCTAGCTTGTCATCATCTCCCAACTACTAAAGAATAGAGAGCTCCAAAGCTCAACTTTAGCACCTGACTACCTATACTCATTCACTAAGTACTCTCCTCTCTCTCACACTCAAGAGTTTTAAACACCAGATGCATGACACCCAACCTACCTCACATATAAAACTTGATGTCTACTAAGCATCTCAAATTTGTTTAAAATGAGCTCTTAACGAACTCTCAAGGCTAGTTTCAGAAGAGACGCTCTCTTCTGTGTAGAATGCTCTCATACAATTGCTATTTCGTGCTCACTTTACTCTTTACTGAGAAGTCATCCTTTCAGTATATTTTCTCTAGCATCTCCTTTCCCCTTCTCTTTATATAATTTAATATTCCCCATTAATAGACATTTCCTCTTGTTATTGTTGTTCTTAGCATTGATCATTATTAATGTGCTCTAAACTTTATGTATTTCCTTTGTTGCTTTTTACCATAGTAAAAGAAAGCTAAGGACAGACTTTCTGGTGTCTGTTCAGGGCCTCATCATAGAACGCTGCTTTGCAGATGGTAGGTTCTAAAATAATTTTGCCAAAAAATGCACCAAACTTAATAAACTTGGGGTTCCAATATAAGTAACACATGACAGGCTAAAAATATATATTTAGCTGCCTGAAACCCAGTAATACCTGGTAAAACCTGGTAATACCTCCTGCTCCCTCATTTCTCAGAGCTGGGTCATTATGACCTGCAGATTCTGTCTTCTCAAGAGAATTTCTGACTCTACCACACTTCTTCCAATGTCATCACTACCTGAGGTCTACTACTGTACTTTATAGCTGGATTCCTACCTAAACCATCCACCACATGGTAGCAAGTGATCATTCTAAAATAAAAGCATTAAAGCCGGGTGTATTGGTGCACGCCTGTAGTCCCAGCACTTGGGAGGCAGAGGCAGATGGATCTCTTGAGTTCAAGGCCAGCCTGGTCTACACAGTGTCCACGGCAGCTGGGGCTACAGGGAGACCCTGTTTCAAAAAGACCAAAAAAAAAAAAGAAAAAAAACATAATCCTGTAGTTTTCCCTCAATGGCCTTAAGATAAAGTGCAAGCGCCTTTCCCTGATTCGTGACATGGCCGTTTTTTCTTCCCAGTCTCATTTCTCACCACTGCAATTCTCTACTTGGGGATCTACCCAGGAAACAGCTTTTCACCTTTGGAATGTGCTACATTTCTCTTTACCTTTAGCTCTTAGCAAATTCTGCCTCCTCTGCTTGGACACTTTTCCCTGCCTACTTCTCTCTAATTTTTTAGTTCTCTGCTAAGATGTACTTTTTCCCAGAAAGCCTACATGTACCTACATGTGCCTACACATGCCTCCCCTCTGTATGTCTCTGTCCTTACCTCCCACTGCTTCCCTTTCATGTTGTATTATAACACTGTACTTAGCAATCTTGACTCTGGTCTGTGAGAACTGGAACATTTCTACTGCCTGAGTATCTCTAGGACTGCATACAACATCAACACAGTAAGTACTTGTTGGAAGAGAAGTAGCTCGATTCTTACCTTTCTCTTCTGGTTTTTTCCAATTTGTCTTTTAAAACCATAATTTCTTTGTTGAGAGCAAGTTGCTGGCCTTCTGAATCATGCAGTTCCTTCTTCAGATTTTTAATCTCATTTGCATGTATTCCTTCTCTTTTAGATATTTCTTCTTCATAAAAGATACTTTTCTTTTCCAAGTCAGTTTTCAGTTTGGTTATCTCTTGCTGATGCTCTATGCTGCATACTCCTGGTGAGTAGCTAATTTGTTTTTGCTACATAAATAACAAAAGATTAAAGAAATAAAATAAGAAATAATTCCTATCTACCAGGGACTATATATGCAATAAATTTTTATGTATTTTCACACAAATTGTATACCTTAAGCTATCGTGTCTCTGCCATATATTACAAATACTTTCTTCAGTTTATATCCCTTTACAGTCTATTTCTTGTAATTTTTGAAAGTCTGCATACCAAAATCAGAGACTAATCTGAACTTTCTGTTGGCACTTATGACTTCTTGTTTACATTTAAATTTCTATCTAGTATTGTTAATATATGACTAAGGAAAGAATATAACCATCTTATATCTAATAAGGAACTGTCAGAAAGTTTGAATCACATTCGTGTCTTTAAAAGATTAAAATGGGGAGGGCATGGCTAAGCTAGAGTATACAAAAAGAAAAGAAAGGAGGCTCTTGTAATTGTCCAGGAGGAAGAGTCACAGATCCAAACATCTCCATATCCATACCAGAAAAGAAAATGTAACCATGTGACCCCTGAGGAACAGATCCTTAAACGGCATTAAGAGTAAAAATAAACTGGTATAACTGTATGGCCTTTAACACCCAAAAGGAAAGTATAACTGTGCTGGATAGCTTTAGTGTCAACTTAACACACCTGGGTTGAGGGAGCCTCAGTTGGGGAATTGCCTCTATTGGACTGGCCTGTGGCCATGTCTGAGGGGCATTTTCTTGATGAGTGATGTGGGAGGACCCAGCCCACTGTGGGTGGTGCCACACCTGGGCAGGTGGGCCTGTGTTGCATAAGAAAGCAGGCTGACCAGGGGCCAGGGGAGCAAGTCAGTAAACAGCATTCTTCCATGGCCAGTGCTCCAACTCCTGGGTGCCTACCCTGAGTTCCTACCTTGGGCTCTCTAATGAACTGTAACCCAGGAGATATAAGCTGAATAAACCCTTTCCTCCCCAAGTTGGTAATGGTCAGAGTGTTTTGTCACAGCAATGAAGAAACAAACTAAGACAATAACCAAAGATTAAAGGGGCCAATATAGTTTTCTGAGTCCATATGTATAGCTAAAGGCTACATAACAAGAAACTCTTAGTTTTTTAAAAAAATAATTTATTGAGAATTTCATACATGCATATAAGGTATTTTGATTAAATCCATGCCCATTCCCTCCCCTCCAACTCCTCCCATATCTCCCCATCACTTTTTTCTGATTACTTCATGTACTCTTTCTTCTTTTATTTTATTTTATTTATTTATTTATTTATTTATTTACTTACTTATTTATTTATTATTATTATTATCTTTTTGAGACAGGTTCTCCGGTATTATTATTATTATTACTATTGTCTTTTTGAGACAGGTTCTCCCTGTAGCCCCAGCTGTCCTGGAACTCACTATGTAGACCAGGCTGGCCTTGAACTCACAGAGATCTGCCTGCCTCTGCCTCCCGGAGTGCTGGGGTTAAAGGCGGGCACCACTATGCCTGGCTTTCTTCTTTTATTTTTTTAATGGGGCTTTTGGCTACTCTAACATTCCCCCCTCTAAAGAGGTAACTGTAAAATCTCTAAAGGATTAGATAAAAGCTCCCAAATACTTTCAACATTTTTGGCCTTTGGAATGGAGTATGTTGCTAAGAGGCCCAAGAACATTGTGAGTTTTATCCAACAAACTGGCTACTTTTCTCTGGGGTCTTTTTACCCTAACTGCCTAGCTAATTCCTACCTCCTATTCTTATCACACCATCCTCTGAAGAGGTTACCCAAATTGCCAAGAGGGAACTGGGACACAGACTGCTCTGGCTTCTTCCATGCTGAACAGGGACGCAGGGTAAGGCAATCGGAGTATCCTTTTAGTGGGCCTATCTAAAAACTCCCAAATTCCGTGACTCTTATCATCATGTGGAGGCAGGATCTGGGCACTCTCAGGCAGTCCCCTGCATTCTCAGCCCCTATGGCAGAGGGAGGCTAGAACCTGGCACTCTCTGGCAGTCTCAACTCTCTTAGCTTTTAAGCAGGACATTAAGAAGAAAAATGTGTTTGCTTTTTGAGACAGAGTATCATACTTAGCCAGACTGGACTGTATAAATTTTATTGCAGGACAGGTAATGAAGGTAAATGAATATGTTAATAAAAGCATCACCTTGATACATTAACAATCCAAGTGATCTTCTCAGAAGGCTCGCCTGCCCAAAAATATTAAATACAACCTATGATTCCAAATATTACTCCAAGTCTCCCAATAAAACTATGAAAGTTTAGTCTCCTAGCTTTAAAAAAGTATTCATTTCAAGCCATCAGACAAAATAATTGTGAAATATCAAAAGCACATCCATTAAGTTCAGCGCTATCAACAGAAAGGACTTCTTCCTTTACTGCTCTTTTGTAACAGTAATTCTGTCTGACTAGCACGTGAAAAAGCAAACAGAAGGGAATATTGGAAAGTGAATGATATCATTTCCATGCAATTACTTACCTAGAAAATACAAATGAATATACTGGCATCAGAACTGATAGTGTAACTAATTCTAGTTAGTAAAATAAGCAATGAAAGGCATAATAAAAACTTCATCAATAGCAAAAATCAGACAACATGATATAATATACATGAAGAATAGTAAGAAATCACTCATTTATATGAAAAAAAGTCACAAATCTTTATAGACTTTAGATAGAAAAATATCAGCTACTTGAAAGGGAAGAACAAATGTACACACATTCAATATTTCTCAAATTATCTTCCATATAATTCTAATAAAAGATCTTTTTTAATAGTGGGAGAAGTACTGGGTACAGGAGGGGAAGGAAACAAATGTTTCAAACTTGCAAAGATTTTTGGCAATTATGAAGTGTTTTGAAATGATCTTCTAACTTTATTTTTAGGTATCTATCCAAAGAAAATAATAAAAAGCAGTATGTAAATGTCTATGGCAATTATATTACAAAAGTATAAAAAGCGCATCAATTGAGTCAGGCAGACCTCTGTGAGATCGAGGCTAGCCTGGTCTACATAGTTCAGGGTAGCTGAGGCTTCAGGGAGACCCTATCTCAAAAACAAAAACCCTCATCATTTAATATAAACTATAGATATACATCTTGAAAGATTTACAGTTGTTAAACTTATAGACATGATCATTTTTATTTTTTAATTTAAAAATAGCTCACTTATTATTTTTATGTATATGAATGTATTGCCAGCATGTGTGTAAGTGCACCAGTGTTGTGCAATGCCTGCAAAGGTTATAAGGCAGCATCAGATCCCCTGGATCTGGAGTTATGGACAGTTGTTAGCTGCCATGTAGGTGCTAGGAATCGAATCCCGGTCCTCTGCAAGAGGTCAGTGCTCTTAACTGCTGAGCCATCTCCCCAGCATTGATGTGATAATTTTTAATAGCTAAAATGCTTTCTACAGTGCTAAGAAAAGTACAAGTGTTAATGATAGGTTGACCTGTGTCTCTAAATGATAGCAACCAATACACACCTTTCAATTTTGTGTCCCTAAATTTTGTGCAGAAGGTCTAACCACTAGTACTTCTGACATGACCTTATTTTAAAATAGGGTCCTTCTGAGAGAGTTAAAGCAAAATGAGATCATTAGGGTCCTAATCTAATGTGAATGTGTCCTTACAAAAAGGAGAAATTTGGACACAGAGCTGTGCACAGGAGAACTCTGTGTGAGCATGAAGAGAGATCAGGGTATGCACCTACAAGCCACAGAACATCAGACATGACCAACCACCATCAGAAGCCAGTTCTGCCAACATGCTGATGTGGAACCTCCAGACGCCAATGAGGACTCTCACTTTGTGTCTATGTATGTGTGTGTTTGAAACAGCATCTCATTATGTAGTCCAGGCTGTCACTATGTAGACCAAGTTAGTCTCAAACTTGCCTTTGTCTCCCAAGTACTAGGAATTTCACTTTTTTTGAGGTTCACATGAGTTTTATTCATAATTTCCAAAAAATTAGAAACAAATCTTTTTATCAACTCCCATCCTTCAATAGTATAGACAAATGTGGAACATCCATATAATGGAGTATTACTTAGTAAGAAAAAGAAATGAGCTACTGTGATGGGTATAAATGTCAATTTGCCACAACTTAGAATCACCTGAGCAGGGAGCCTTAGTTGAGGCATTGTCTATATCAGGACTTGTCTACATGACCTGTGGGCACATCTGTGGGGGACTCTCCTGATTGCCTTAATTGACATAGAAAGATATATCCCAAATGTAGTAGTACCTTCTGGTAGCAATCAAAGTCAAAAAGGTCATGAAAGAAGCTTTCTCTCTTTCCACTCACTTGGCCTTCCCTCTTAAAAATAAACTTTTAAGAGACCTTAGCAGACTGCCTGAGAGGGTGGGTTCCAACCTCCAACTGTGTACCGGCTGGGATTTCAGCAGACTGCCAGAGTGCCTGTTTCAGCCTCCCTCTGGCATAGGGGCTGAGAACTCAGCAGCCCCCCCACCCTTAGGGATCTTTCCAAAATTTGCTCTGAGTTTCCACTAGCAGGGGTCCAAATCTTAGAAGGAAGCCTGAGTGTACCTGACTGGAACCTGACTTGGGCTTCTGTGGGTGCTCCTGACAAGCTGATCTGAAGCCATCAGTGCCCTCCAAAATAAAACCTGAGAGAACTTGAAACCTGGACCAACCAGCTTTATATAACCAATAAGAAAAGGATCAAGGCACACTAATAATACAAACAGAAGCATATTTCAACTTAATTCTCATATCAGGATCACAAACAACAAAAGAAATTCAGATGCCAAAATCACAATGAAAGAATAAAAGGGAAAGCCAAAACTATGTCTCCACCAAACTCCATGAGTCCTGTAGAAGAGTTCTATAAGGAGAACCCCCTAGAGATAACCCAGGACACAGAATTTAAAAGAACAATCATAAACATGATCAAGGAATTCAACGAATTTAAATAACATACGAACAAACAAATCAAAGAACTAAAAGAAGAGAGGGATAAACTTCTGAAGGAATTCACAAAAACACCATAGAAACACCAAACTTGGGCT